ACACACACACACACACACACACACACACACACACACACACACACACACACATACACACACACGCACAAACACCAACACCCACACAAATACATTAAAACCACATTCATGATTCAAGACGCGAGTTTCACATCACAGGCGAACAATTTTACCATTTAATTTTTTATTCAATTAGAATGCACCACATGGGCTGTTATTAGCGTCACAACGCAGTGGGGATCAGACGCTCGTCAATTTTTGGGCACACTGAGTTATTGGTATCATCTGAAAGCCCATTTCTTTGCCTTGCTTCCAATGAAATAAACATCCATCTATCTCGAATAGATCTCAAGATATTTACGACTGAAGAAAGTGAGCTCGCTTGGTTTCAATTGTGAAGTCAGCGAGAAAATGGCAGCCAAAGTTTGGTAACTGCAATAGCTAAAGAATCCTTGAAAACAGAAAAATGACACATTTTATGCCCTTAATCAATGTTTTTCAGTAAAATTCACATGAACATGTGTTTTTATATGGACATATAAAAGGTTGAGCCCATAAATAAAAATTCGATTAAAATTTTCAAACTTTCAGAAGAATGCCTGTTACTTCAATTTCTGTTATTTTGACGAGCGCCTGATTTTACCTCGCTGCCTCAATACAGCTTTGTAAGAGATGGTAAAGTGCTTAACCGCCACAGAAAGTACGTTGCCATTCAACAAAAGTCAGAAAATATTATGACAGGGTTGTATATTAAAAATGACATTCAACGAAAGGTTTTCGAATATTCTAAGGTCTGCTATGGTGGTAACAATTGTGAAGCGGATAGAGCATGCTGTAGAAAGTGGATAAACATAATATGAATATAAATGCTAGTTTTATACTTATTATCATGATTATGAGCTACCCTTCTGCGCGCTGCCTTTAGCACGATGACTTAGAGCTTAGGGCATATAATAATATCATCGTAATATGTATTGCTTTCGATCGTCACTACAATAGTGACACTAATTGGTGACTGTCTTGCTGTTACTTCTTTGGATTATATTAAATTACCCAACAACAGCAACAAAACAGAAAAAAAGAAACACCACTTACATCGACAATCAACTCATCATTGCTGGTCGCCAATGTGCAGCACCATACTCTTGAGTTAAGTGTATGGTGTGAAGCTCAAGGACCAGTGACCCCCCCCCCCCCAACCTCTCCTAAACGCTGTGTTACCGACCTACACTTGGCTTGCGTTTATCGGTGCAGCATTGAAATAAAGTTGAAGAGGAGACTCTCACAGTTATTAAAAAGTGGACTTGGAAATTAATGGTTCGGGTTTTGTTTTATTTTGTTTTGTTTTAAATTGCTTCACGGCGCTTGCAACTGCATTAGGTCATATGAGCACACATTAAGAACTGGTGGAGCACCTGACGGCTATCTCGGCTATTACAAACCCTAGAGAGCCCATATTAGCCTTAGGACATCCTGTTTCATAGGGAATTTTTAAAAATATTTTTTTAAAGTAAACAGTAATATTGTTCCGTTGCTATGGAAACGGAGGCCATATTGGATTTTGTACACCCTTTTTTATCCTGTTTCACTCACTTATACACTTTTAATTTGGAGTTTTCGTTTTTAAAAAAGTACAGATAAAAAATTTGAATGTTGAGGAATTTCATTTTATATAATATACTGTAGTTTTCAGTTTATGGCACATAAAAATCGGCTTATTGCTTAACTATGAAAAAACTGGGAAAATAAGGTTTCTGAGTCAATTTATTAAAAGCTACATATGCAATGAGAAATTCCTCAAGACAATTTTTAGAGCTAGGTGTCGTTAAGATTTTGTAAAATGTACATTAAAATCAAATAAAAAATAGAGCAGAAAAATAAGATAAAGTGTGTTGAAATTGCGTTTTTAGAAACCAGCCGATAAAGGCCAGAAAAGGCCAAAATAGTTCTCTTTCCAGTAAAACCTTTCAAAATAAATTTCACAACTAAAACATGGCAAGCACTTGATAATATTAATATAACAGAAATAGAACAGTTTCCTACTAAAACTGAAGTATAATATGAGGTGTTTTTAAGTCAAAACGTGGTAATTATTTTCCTGTCCGTACGTCGTGTTATACTATTGAATCCATACGACATGGGGAACTCTGTGCCACAACTTTCCAAAGAGGAAATTGACTCGTTAATCCTATCCGTACACTTTGCATAGCAGTCTGTAAAAATGAATTTTTGGAAAATACTGAAAGTTTCAGAAAGATCTTCGCTCTAGAAGTATTCTAAAATGTGAAGAATACAACCTCGGGGGTACAAAATGACTTCAGGGCGTACGGATAGGGTTAAAAAATCTCTACCCTCTGCTCTAAAATGACTTCAAACACCACTATAGGGTACAGAAAC